AGCTCATCTATAAATATATACATAAAATAACATTGCAAAAAGCAGCTAAATTCTTGGGTCTTGAATATGGATTCTACCTTTTCAGTAATATGTAATCTTCACAATTTGTAATAACATTTTTAAAAGTTCGGTGCCTGCTCTTTGTAATAGATGGTGATAACACAATGTAGATAAATGTCACAAGTTACATGTTACGTGCTGGTTGCTAGGTAAAAGATTATGGGTACTTTAAATACAGAGCTTGAAATGAGTTACTCTCCTTGCATGGTGATTAAATTCTTTTTAAGAATATAAGTCTGTCTTTTTGGTGAGGCCTTTTGAAATGTGAATCCTGAATATTTAGGTAGCTTTAAAAATGAGAACCAGTAAACTTCCTTAAATGTAGAACATTTTTAATTTAGTCTTGATTTGTTTCATGGTTCTGTTCTAAAATGGAATGCTCCAGTGAGTCTTAAGTTATGTGACTCCAGGACACAGGGATCAGAGTACATGTGAGAAGTCTGCACTACTGTCTTCTCTACTTAGCTACTCTTTATTTAAAGATTTTGATCTCTAACATTCCTTTTTATAAAAATAAAATGTGGAAAACTTGCAAGGCAAATGACATTTCAAACAGCTACCACTGTTTTCTGTGGTGACTTCCTGTGATTGAAGAGGGGAGGTTGTTTTCTATCCCTCAAAGAATAATTTCAAGCTCTGATTTTAAAGTAAGATGTGTTGCACTGAGACATGATTTGGGGCTAACATTTCTGTACATTGAAAAAACCTGAATACCGATGCAATGGTGCTGATCAAATCTGAGATGCAGATCCTATCCCATAGTTTTATTAATTTTTTGGAACAGGGATGGTAAAGTCAGTGGTATTAGTTCTGTAAGAGCACATGATTTGGATTGCTCTGTATCTGATGTGGAAGCATTGGTCTAAAAAATCTGTATGTTTCTGACTTTGTAAAACAAATAAAATGGAAATTACTCCAACTCTTTAATGTGTTTTTCTTTTTCTTTAAAATGTTTGCCTGTACATTCACATGCCTGATTGTCCTTTATCATGTATAATAACACAGTGAAAATTACTGTACTTTTACATGCCAAAACCAAAGCTTTTGTTAGTCTGTTTTCCTGGCTGT